AAGCTTGAGACAGTTGTGACAGCTGATTCAGTAGGATTGAGGAGCAGGTTCAATTGTTCTGTTATTGGTGTCTTGCAATTGCCCGAGGGGATGTCGCCTACAGAGGCCGAGGGGTCTTTCGCATATGTCGAAATATTGCATGATCAACGGCGTCTACTGTAATCCGTGCTTATATAGATTCTGCTTCAGATATGCCACCTACTATATGCAGTAAAACTTGAATTGGAAAAAGCTGAAAGCAAAGACCCTACAACTGCAGTGCAACGAATTTGCTAAACACACTAAATACCTGGCCTTGCTACACCTGTGCTTGTAACATTTCTCAATGAGGTTAAAGATATCTGGGTGGCATAATAAAACGAAACAGTCAGACTGAATAAATATCTGCTCGACCCATGAGTAGTGTAGTTTGGGTAAATTTCTACGAGATAAGTGTAGGTTGCCAGGCACATCGGTTACACGCACGAATTGTTCTTCATCTCTTGGAGATAGTAACATTCTGAGATTTAAAATAGGCCTTTAGTAACCTAAAGGACGATGCTCCGTTGTATACGGAATGACCGTATTCAGACAGAAACACTAACAAGGGCTACTGAAACGGTAAAAAAGTGGACAAGAGCCTTAGAGATGGTTCAAGAGAATATTGCTTGTGATTAACATAAGCAAGTAAGATCTGCGGCACTCGGCCAAGACAGATTCAATTTCACGTGCTTTTAAATCCTACTGACAATGTCGGAAATCACTGGCACTACAAAGACCATCAATTTTGTTCCCAAGTTGGTATTTATTTACTTCTCTTAATGGCTTCCGTCAAAGGCCTTTCTATCACACAGAATAGGCCTTAAAGTTATATTGTCTACGAAAAAGTTTTTTGGCGAAAAATCGAGATCCAATTACAGGCAGGCAATATCCCGTGGCAACAACTATAGCAGACCGCAGTTACATCTGCATAACAGGATAGGGACATGGATTACCCATACACAGGCCCACTCCTCCCACGGCTAAACAGGACACGAGAATAGAAAAGTACCACGGACGTATTAAAGTTGGCCATGCGCATAATTTAGGAAGGATAAATATTTTCTTGTCTTAAACTTAGCTCTCATTCTAAGCCCTAACTCTAACGCCACCCTAAACCCTAACCCTGTGGCTAACAAAACGAACTATAACCCTAACCATAAGCTTAAGCCTAACCTTGCATTTTCATTAATTTGGCCCAAGGCTATCTGCACTGCGGGTAGTTGCTGCTCTTACGTCTTGTATGCAACCACTAGTTCACGCAAATTAAGTACGTCAATGCTTAGAAATCAGATGGACCTGGATTTCAAAAAAGGTCATTAGAAAGATATGTCATTGGGTGCCGGAACCAGTAATTTTCGGACATAAGCAAATGTTCCGAGGAGACAGCAAAATATATGGCAACAACTCAGCCAATTTAGCTTCCGTGTAAGATGTGTTGAAGTGGTTTTCATTCAGACAAGGGACAATCTTGCAAAAAAACAAGTGTTGCCTTCTCGCTAATGGAGAATTATTTCAATATTTACAGGGCCATCATGCAGTGCATACAGCAGTATGGACGCATATTTTGCTTTTTAAGCAAAAAATCCTTTCAGAATCAGCCAATCAGGATAGAGAAAGTTTTTTTAATCTGCCTGAGTATTTCTGTGAAATAACGAAGCAAAGTAAGGTCTACTTCAATTGTGACAGACCTTCATTGTATAAACTTAACTTATTCGGCCAGTCTGTAAATGCATCGTCTCCCCCACATAAATTGTCCTCCATGGACAAAGGCTCCTGAATGTGGCTTTTGTTGGCACGTATATGCTAGCTATTTAGCTTTGTCAGTCACTGCGCCCGAACGTGCCCACCGGGCCTCTCGGCATTGTTTCATCATCGGAGTAAGGTGAGCGAGAGAAGAAAGTGTGGTGGATGCCGCGCAAGTAAACGGTGCTGCGGTCATTCGGGTGAGTACACGTAGGAAGTCATCGCTTGTGACGGCCGAAATGTTGGGTAGGATAATATAGTGCACGATAATTTCTATAAGAATCCAACTGAGGTAGACTTTTCCGATCTAAAATATATTTTAGAATAAGAAGAAAGGCGTTCACCGGGAGAGGTTTATTAGATATCTGACACTTAAGGGGGTTGTGTCGTCCATTCATCTCCAGAGACTGAGCATTGAATGGGCGGTTAACGGGGAGGACGGCTGCGGGGACACAAGTGACAGTGAAATGCGAGCCACGCGAAGCGGCTCAGCCGGTATTGGCAGGCTACGCACATGGAGGCTACGCATATGGAAGCAGCAGATAGCGAGAGCCGTGAGCTTAGTTGTTCATATTATAAACTTCTTCTGATAAACGCCCTTACTTCTGCCGGGGAGTCGCATTTTCAGTACATTCTATACTCTTGTTTAACATTTTCTGAGATCAACCATCTGCTGTATGTGTCGGTTAGTCAATTTAATTTAGGAATGTTAGATGTGGTTAGACGAATTCCGACCGGAAGATCAACATATTCAAATGCATGCAGTAACCTTAGATTATGTTCTACGTTTAGATCGTTTCGAAAATGACTCGATAACAACTTCGGTTTAAAGGAGTATTTGAGGTGAGCGGTCGATGTTAGAGCAGTTGTAAGTGGAAACAACTCCCCTGTCCCTTTAAAGACCATGCTTAACGAGTATCGGCAAAGCCGGTGGGTCCCAAGCTTGATAAGGATTACATATAGTCGGCAAAGAGGACACGAGAACATGAACCACTGCTACTACAGGTGTCTTCGCACTCAACTCCAGGGAAAATAGGTTTACGTTTAGGGTTAGGGTTAAAGTTGACGTTAAGGTAATTAAAGGTAGGGTAGGTGTCAACTGTAGGGTTACGGTTTAGGTCGGGTTTAACATTAGGACTAGGGTTCGGCTTAACGTAAAGGCTAATGTTAGGTTAAGAGCACGGGCTGCTTACCCTTCGTGGAATTAGGCGTATTATTTCGGCAAAATATCGTTAAAATGCTAAATCCATGAGTGTGAGAAGACCTCTCCGCATCCATGACCGTAGGACGATATCATTGTGAGATCTGAACTTGAGGCAATGGATAAAGTCGCCAGAGGCCACTGCAAACCCACAGAGAGAGCGTGCCATACCGAGAAACTGGCAAGTGAAACAGTCTCATGAACCCGAAAATGTTAAAATCATACATTAAAAATAATGGTAGATAGGCGTTCACCGATTGAATCTGCGATCTTGTTAGTTAGAAGTCTAACGCTCTAACCAGTGTAACACGGGCTCACTGTCTTACCCGTTTTGAATGGGAATAAGCTCAATTCTAGATAAGCGTTCGCCGATCGGTTACGCTATTCACTCTGTGCATAATATGTTAGCCGTTGAGCGGCCACTCGAACTCGAAATGACTTGCGAAAATTCCCATTAGAAAGTTCAAAAGATAAATTAGCAAGCATACGTATGCTTTCGGTGAATTCTTTTCGGGCTTGTACATCCATTATCAAAGTAAAATATGCGCATATTTTACTCAATTAATACCGACGTAAATATAAACAATAAGACTGGATGGAAAGGACAGATGGAGTCGCAGACAGACAAAACAAGAACAAGCAAACCTCGTCAGGGGGCAGCCAGGCGGAGGCCTCGACCGCAGGCAGACGCGCAAAGTCAGACAAGAGGCAGGTGCGAATGGGAGCCGTTGGCGAGAGAGTAGCGCCCAGTTCCGTTGACAGACCATGCCAGAGACGCAGCATCTCGCGGTGTTCCCAGCGGGCTCGCTTATCCAAACTGAAGTGAACACCGTATCTATATGTGGAGAGGAAATAAAGGAGAGAAACAGTAGGATTCAAGGGGAGACGAAGAGGACAACAAACAGTGGACTGGGGAAAGATTTTGACGTTGATAATGCCGTGACAGTCGATTTGGCAACCCAGGCGTGCCCCCCTCTGTCTACCCCCATAGAACCAGTAAACTACCGGAGAAAGTTCGTTGCTGAACACTCATCGATCGCTAATAGAACTTACTTGTCCAGCTCTGCCTTGGGTCTCATTCTTGGGCCCTGACAGCAATCGCACAGCGGCTAATAGTGAAGGCAGGTAAATATTATCGGCAAAAAAAAGGGAGAATGGAATGGCTATTTCTGGCTTAATAGATGTCAACGGTTAGAACGTCGGATTTCTCCTCAACATGTCACGGTTTAGAGTCTCTGGTGGTGCACCACCCAGGTTTGCGTATGACAAACTGGTGATGGCTAGTGAGCGAGAAACGGGCATACCATTCTCCATTGTCTTTGCTGGCAGTGTTTATATACCTACACGACGAGGCTCGAAAGTGAGCACCAAGACAAAATGGGATGGGTGAGTTCCGTTAGCCATCGGTGAACGTGCCAACGAGTGTCAACATCTCCCGAATTAAAGCCGGCGACACAGCGAGCTCGTGGCTCAATGGTAAGAGCGTTAGACTTCTGATCATAAAGGTCGCGAGTTCGAGCCTCGAGTGGTGCACCACTTGGGGTTGGGTATGACCGGCTGATGGCGGCTAATGAGCCAGAAATGGCCATTCCAGGCTCCCTTGTCACTTCCGGCATCTGACCGTAGAGAGTTTGGAGGCCGGGCGCGTGGGCAACATCGACGAGCGATTCTGCAGTGCTCTTTGGGGAGTGCTTAATCCTATGTTCGCACTAGAGTCGGGGTAACCAACGTGAAAGCAGCATTAAGTTCAGGAATCGGCCTATGGTAATAGGCGATTGACACTTTCCACGCCTGACGATTGTAGTGAGGGCCTTGTTTGGGGTATGATGAACGCCTCTTCTCACAGCAAGGATAGGTGATAGAGCATATTCTGATGACGTGAAGCCCACCGTTTCCGGATTTCCAATCTCTCTCCTCTCGCAGCAGAGTTGTTTTAGCGGACACGAGGATGGTGGAAAACAGGTAGTGGACAACTTTTGTGGCCATAGAGGAACCCTCCAATGCCCTTCGATCAACACCTTCCGTTTTTCGCCGCCTGAGGAGATAACGCCGTATTTATTGACAGCACTTGGTGAAAACGGATCTGCTCCGCCTACTTCCGAAAACTCAAGACGTGGGTTTACATCGTAAACCCAGTTCAGAAGAGGCGTTCACTGGAACATTAAGTGTCGGATTCTCGCTCGGACACATAATCAACGGCAACTGTGGTACCTCAGTTGATTGCAACGTCTCCAGTTAGAACTGAAAACCCAAATGCGTGCATGACAGCCTACAAAAACTAAAATAGTTCCAAGTTAAGAGACTGCTTTTTGAGGCAAAAATTTAGTTGCCTTCTAGCTACACCGGAGCGAAAGACTCGGGCGACAGCATAAAAAGAAAGACTGTAAGGAGATAATGCGCCTCCAGTTGCCATGGTTACTGTGCCAACACGGAGAGGAGTCATCTGCACAAAGGGAGGATGGGGTGGGACAGGAGCAAGAGGGCAGAAGCTTTGCTAGGGGCCGAACGCAATTAACAATTCTGGATGATAAATTCGGGCGTATTGACTGGAAGGACAAAGTAGAAGTAGGTCTTTCTACGCGTGTACATACACAGAGATATTCAATGCACAACGGTACACACAGCGTACAGCTAGAGGCTAAAGGACAGCCTAGTAGTTAGAGTTGGTTGTGCTTTGGGGGTAAAGTAGGGCAAAAAGCTCCTACGGAGGCGGGGGAGGGAGGCATGACAAGTCGGTTCTCCCTACCGTACAGAGCATAACGGATGCACTACTTCACATCTCTCGGTCTGATTTCTAGTCCAGGTGCCCGTTTTTTTTCAGTGAGTCCTTCTAGGCAGATGAGCAATTGAGTTGACAGTGGGCGAGGGGTGACGGAGAACTGAGCAGTTCCTAGATCAACTTACAAAACGTGAAGGTCGTGAACGCTCGTTGGAAGGATTTTGCGATTGCATGGAGGTGCACACCAAAGTTATGTCACAGCAACTTGGTAGTTACTTGGTATTTAATGTACTAGTGGTTTCTAGCGTCTCAATATTCGCGGAAAATAGTTAGAAAGAGCGGTTTTGTCACATATGACCTGCCGATGTAACCGTCAATCCTAGTTAGAAGAATTTTATCAATCATCAATCAGACGTACTAAAGGGAGGCAGCCAATCGAAGGACGGCATTATTTG